TCTTCTCCTGCCCCTACTTCTCTCCCTACTGTTTTACCTCTCTCTCCACCCCACTTTTATCTGTTCCCTTGTGCAGTGGCGTGCACAGGGGGTGGGGCCACAGGGCCCCAGCTAAAAGCCAATTGGCCCCCTAAGTGGCCCCTCTGCTGTCGCTCACCTATTCAAATCATATCATTGGTTAATAATAAGGTTGTCCCCTCTGTGTGACTCATGGCCTGTCTTATGCCCGCCACCTTAAAAATTGTAGAATCACCCCATCCCCTGTTACACCCCCCCACCCCCACTCACCGGCCTTAACGCGGATGCTGGGGCTGCGAATCTTGCCGGCTTGGTTCTCTGCGGTGCAGAAGTAGTCATTGTCGTGAATGAAGCTGTTGAAGGCGGAGGGGGAGAAGGGGTAGAGCTGCAGTGTCCCGTTGGCGTGGACATGGCGGATGTGCGGGACGTCGTAGATGTCGTCGCCGGTGGCCAGGTACCAGCGCAAGACGGCATGGGGGGCGCCTCCAGCTGGACAGGGCAGGGACACCCCCACTGAGCTGGAGAACGTCACCCTCTGCAGGGAGGCGTTCACAAAGTACAGCCGTGTCGAGCCCACATCCTCACTGTGCACTGCGAGAGGGAAAAAGGCCCAGTCAGAGGGGGGGGTCCAGCTCCACAACAAATAGAGCTCACCTCTAACATACACTGCATGTTCAGACGTACACACTGCATCTTCCAGTGGGAGCTCTGCTCTGAAGCATGCAGTGCACATACTCACATAACCATATAAAACAATGCCACACTCAAGAACAATTAAAGGCTAAAATACCTTCACATGGCAGATTCTATTATCAAATGGATACAAAACAATAATCTATATAAACACCCAGAACTCCATGAATACACACAAATATCCATCACAAGTATAAAAATGCTGTTATAATTTCTGTTTAAGAATTCTATCAGATAAGCATGTATTAAGTTACTAGAACTCTAGTTAAATGGTTTCTATACTATGAATGTTGTGCAATTACAGCTGAATAATAATGCTGACTGATACAGTCCTGCGGTTGTCGCTGTCAGAGGACCAGGAGAAGCACATTTAGCTGACATCCTGAGTGAGGTTCTTCAATATTGACAGGCGCATCAGTGTCAAGTCAGAAAGACATCAACTGAGGACTGCAGTCACCTTCAGGTTTGTTTCAACACAAGCCTTTTGGACTCATTATCTAAAGGCCAGAGGTCCTTCCCCAGCGGTTTAACCCCAACATGTGGTACAAGTGGAGTTCAGACAACATAAAATGTCTCCTTGGTACAAGCCACCCCAGCTGAGAATGCTTAATATGAAAATAGATGGACTCCATTAACAAGTGAACATCAACCTATTTAATACCAACTTACTTAATATAAAAATCCTCTTAATAACATATTACACTTGTTATTCCATTCGAATTCCCATATGTTATCAACTATTCCTACAACCTACAGAAAGCCACCTATTTTCGCCTTTTCAGTAAAATATGAACCGAGGGCCCCTATTAAGTGCTGCCCCCCCAAATCTGCCAGGTTATCCCTGCCCCTCTGATCCCTGGTGGAAATAATTGGTTTTGTAACATAGTAACCTGACATTAATTCAAATCCAAATGTTCGGCACTATTTTGTTTTTGCGAGTAATTTTCTTTGTATGTTGAACAGTTGAATACTTTGTTATCATTGTTGTTGTTTTTGTTGTTGCTAGGGTGAGGTAAAGACCTACTTGTAACAATGCCTAGGTAAAAACCACAATGGGTTATTAAAATTAATGTCTTATTTTTAAAAAGCCAAAATAAATAAAAACCTAAAGAGATGGCAGAAAATATAAAGGATGGGATTAGAGGTAAAGACTTTACTCAATGAGATGGAGTAGAAATTCTCCATCTCCTTTTTATATATTGCCATAGAACGGGGGGATATGTTATGTAATTGGAATCTGTATGCCAGACGCAGAGTGTTAAACCCATATAATCTCCTTTCACATTTAACACACACAACCTCACGGCCTTGATAATTGCACCGCAGAGGAGAATGTCTCCCTCCGTCCCCAGGGCGGGCAAATTAGGGGACCAAGGTGGGTTAAGAAGCCAGAAACTAGGTGCACTGGTCTGGGGCAAGAGAGACAGCCTGGGTCACTGGGAAGTCAGGGGGCTGCCAGGCAATGATTGACGATTTACTATGGACAGGTAGGAAAGGCTGGACAATCTGGGCAGAGGCTCCAGAGCCAGGTTTGCCAACGGCTTTAGGAGGACAATGAATCTAAGGTTGTAAGTGCTTTTGAAAGAGGCAAACACCAAGGAACTGGGAAAGGGTCAGTGGTGTGACTGGGAGGAGCCTAGAGATGGAAATAAGATGGTGTTAATGTGGGAACAGGACACGGTACGGACTCGCCAGCTGGGACCCGAGCAAATTACTATAGTGGCAAAATAATGCTGCTGATGTATATCTAAATTCCCATGGGAATGGTTCTGTCTGTCTTATGTAATGCATTCTACATTACAAGCTGTATTTGAAAGAACACATGATAAAGATTACATAATAAACACAAAATAACATTTCTAGTAACTCATTGCATTGTAAGGGGAGAGGAGTATTAATAAATTAGTACAATTGTTATTTTATCCAAAGTGCATTTTCATTGATTCGTACATTAGGATATTTTATTGCAGGAATTTGGGTGAATAGTATTCCTCAAAAGCACAAACAGACCAACAACCTGTAACAACCTTAAATCAGTTTCCTTTATAATTGTGCTACCTGCTTTTAAGAAACTTACTTGTTTCAATTTGATATTACAAGTCATGGATTCAGGTGACCCTAATACTTTAAAGTACGAGCAGCTTTCCTTGACATAAAATAGATTTATAGACTCCTAGTGCGAATTTTAGGACTATTCTTGTCTGTAATGACTGGCCGCTTTAGCTGGTCTGTGAAAAACAATCAAAAGCGCAGATGCCAAACTCGGGACTTAAAGCCAACAACCATGATTGTCATCGCAGAAAGGAAAGTGTCCCCGCTGCACCCAGATCGACTAGGCCTGCTATAATATGTGTGAACATGTTTCATATGGGCAGAGAACTGAAGAAGTGGCCCGATGCCTGATTTAAAATTACGTATAAATGTGTTACAAAAATAAACATCACTGAAAATGTGACTTAGACTGAGGGTAAACAAGCAAAAAAATTAACCAGCAGAATTCTGGTGAATTCAGGTCACCCAGTTCACCATCCACCCCTCTGCCTGTCGCAGATTAGTGCCCAGAGCATAAACCCCCATAATAAAGATTGCAATATTTATAATCTCACAGTGGGGAGCTGCGGGGGGGGGGGGGGGGGGGGTACAGTCAGGTTTGGGTGCTTGTTTTCAAGGTTTGGATGGAGCATCAGTGTTAGAGGGAGGATGCTGCAGAAAAGGAGGAAGAGGGATGGCAGTGGATGAATACAAAGGAAATAGGAAGGGCTTTTTCACTTTTATTTATGATATACGGCTTATGAGGTTTTGCTGTACTGTCAGGAAGTGCTGCTGCCTGCGACACTTAAAAAAAAAAATCAGAAAAAGTGTCAGACCGGTATCTGAAATGTTCAGTGATACCATTGGCAAACAGACGACACCTGTTCCCTCTCTACACACCCCATTTAGGGCATTATCTTTAAATTCTCTAAACAACTGCATGTGTGTCAACACAAGTTACTATGTGACCAAATGAACTTGATGTCTCTGAAAACTATACTGGGTCAGCCCACTGATTCTGTCAGGAAGGTATGGTCCAACCATCCAAATATCTTCAAGCATTGACCCCCCCATGTTTTTTACAGATTGTACCAATAATACGGGCCAGTGCTACAGCACCTCATTCTGGTGCTCCTGATGGCTGTATCTATTGAATGGCCACCAGTCCAAAATTATTTGCGATTAATTTTATATATGCTATTTGTGTCCCTCTGATTAAGGACTTAAGATGATTAAAATACTCTACTCGTCTTCCGCTGCTCTCCATTTTATATTATGGCATAAGCAGACTAAAATGGTAGCCATAAGGAAACTTGTCTGTGAGCACAGAGACTATATCGTCCAGAGAGTTTCGGTATATTCTGTCGGCGCTTTGCATAATCTGCACACTGATGGTGTAGGGTGGGGTGTGTGTGTGTGTGTGTGTGTGTGTGTGTAGGGAGGGGTTGCGAATGTTCATGGCCCATGAAAACGAGGTGGGAAATGGGGGGGATAATAGCAAGCCAACGTGGCACATGTTTAAGCAAGAGATTTTTTTCCTTTCTTTGTTCCACAAAAAGATCCTCCGCAGAGAAGCACAGCCCCATTCAGGCTCCCGCGGCTCCCTCACATTTCCTCTAGCATATGCAAAAACTGGAGGAAGGAGAGAAGCTGCCATCTTGGAAGGAGGACCAGCCCTGCCCTGTTTAAATGGAGGCAGAGAGTACAGTGGTGAGTTCTGGGTAAGCCACTGCCATCGCCTCCGTCATCCAGTTCCTTCCAAATTTAATTTACGAATACCATTCCCTCCTCTTTTTTCATAACAGTTGTGATGTGCACACATTTGAAGATATCATTACTAATTTCTTTATTTCTTTATTTATTTTCCGCCTGCATGAAAACAGCATATGAATATGTATGGGGAAGCAGCAGAGACCCTGCCTGTGCAGAGCCTGCACACTGCACGCATAATGCACTCGTCTTCATCTTCCCTCAGAAGCGCAGACCTGGCACTGGCACGCCACACTGGCACGGGCGGATGCACGCTCATACTCTCGCACCAGCACTCCCGTCCACACTGATAGGACCCTCACTGTCACATGGTCCCAAGCCCCACCCCCTGGCCACACCCACACATTACACTGCATCCAAGAGACGTCTCATTTACGCGATAAGTGCCCAGATCATCCACCATTCTGCTCGCCTGGAACGTTTTCACAATGTTATCACAGCAATGATACTGACTTGCTCTTTTGTATGTATACGATCATTTTGGTTTAATCAGCATACATGACATTGCAGTTGGTGGGTTTGGGGCGGAGCCTCTCAATGGCACTCAAGGAATTGTGGCGAGGCTATAGAGCTGTCTCCCATGAGATGCACATAATAATATTTCAAAAGAGCCGTTAACCATCAGATAAATACTATTTACACGAGGATCAGACTGACACATCTGACATACTGAGCTTACATTGACACAAAGCAGCTAGTTGCTGCTGTTCTGACTCCATATATTATTTGGAGTGATTTACACAAACATACACCCAGTCAACTGGAAACCAGTGATTCTGTTCCAACCAAGGCCAAATCAAGAATATCAGACAAAATCTGCATACAGCTTCTCGTTGCACCCATTTCAGGTCGCTAAGTGTATCTCTGTAATGCATGCATGTGTGCATCAGCGTGTGCTTTCATTCAACGGGGAAGTGTGAATGCACGTCTGTGAGTATTTAGAGTTTGTGTGTGTGTGGGTGGGGGGGGGGGGGGTCTGGTATATATTACATTGTGGGAACCAGATGTCCCCACAATGTAATAAAAACCTGTTATTTTTGATATTATGGGGACCATTTTTTGGAAATTTTATTTTTTTTAAATGCGGCTGCAATCAA